TATATATATATCATTTATAAATACGGTGCTACTAAGAATTAAGGGGTATTTGGATGTCGTCTAGACGAATGCAGATTTAAAACAGCAATAGACGTACAAATACTTACACTGTTATTATTTAAAGTAATTAATTTTTTTAAATTGCTATGTATTAATCAATGTTTTACAGTATCTATTATTCTTCGGAAACATCTAAGTTGCATCATTAGTATATGAAATACGGCTTAGGCTTGAATCTTTCGAGTCGATTGTTTTCTCGCATTGTACGCCAAATAGTAACATAATTCTCTAACAATTAAAACGGTTTGTTACATTGTTGTTAAAAATTTCTCGTCGTCCCCTCCGTCCATATAAGATTTTAAGCACGTTCCTTGAACTGTGAATATCATCACAATAATGATTATTGTATAGTGTTAAAATTTTAATTTAATGTTTGGTTACGGCCGTGGGCTATTGTTATATTGTGGTTTTAGAGCCTAAGATCTTATATCAAACCAAGAAGGTTATCTCTAACACATGTATAAAGAGTGATTTTTTTAAACATTTAAATTTTAATCGATATCAACTAATGTTTTTTAACAACAATTTTAAGCAATTACTACTTAAAAAAAGTACAAAAAAATACATATACACTTTGGCATTTTTTTTTTTTCGTAATGTTTTTACAATTTATTAAACGGGAATTTTTCTTTGAAAGCGAAATCCAACAACAAATCACAAATTACTAGTAGTCAATTATTTTATATAGGTATACAAATCTTATAACCTTCTATTTCTTTCATCTAATCTTGTATTTAAAATGCTTATAAATATTTTTCTACTAGTTCGATATTTGATTACTGTATGCATCTACTTTTTTTTTTGAAAAATATACTGTTTTGGAGTTTGAAATACAATAATTTTTATTGTTTTAAAAAAATATAAAAGTTGAAAAATAATTAAAAATATAATTTTATTTTTAAAAAAAATTTATAACTACTCAAAAACACGGGGAAGGCGGATTTAACGTTGTAAAATCCCCCAATACTTATATGTATGATTATGGAGGTGCACACACAGTACACCGCAGTGTTACGTTGTATATTGACGGCGCAGTAGCTACACCGTGTGGATAAACTGGCTCTACCATAGTAATCGAATTAAGTACCTACCTCCTAAATCACTCGAATTGCCTTTGAACTATACAATAACCCTTTTTTCTTCATAATAATCTATGCAAACATATATTCATAAGCTGTCCGTATAATATCAGTGAATATGAAAAAAAAAAACTAATATTCCAGTATCTATTCGATGCAGAGGTGATCATAACATTATTTTTTGAAATATTTTACGATGTATCCTATCATTGTGCGCATATGCAAGCGCAGTGAATATGTATATATGTAGTTAATAAGTATGAATAATGATGATTTGTTCTAACATTATGCATGGAAAAGTTTCATACTTTGTATATGTAAATTAATTTAAAATTCAGTGAATTTTCAATGTAGGATATACGTAAGTAGGTTAATGTTTTAAACACTATAATTCGTAAATAAACATCATAGTTCATATTATAGTTGTCTATTATTAAACTATTTTCTTCAGTAGACAAATATTACTTATAATTTTATAATGTATTTAAAATACACAACGATTTCTGAAATATAAAATAACATTATAGTTTTTGGTCTTACAAGAAATACCATCTTTACTTCAATGGCACGTTGAGCACGAATTAATGAAACTCCCGACCGACGGAGGCTCCGAAAAAATATAATTTACAACTTAATGTTGTAATAACATACTGACGCTACCTATCTCAACTACATACGAGTATTTGGCTGTCAAGTTTACATAATAAGTTATAATTTAAAAATAATATTAAATAATATTCAACTCAAAATTTTAATGCTATAAATACGACGATTACTTCTGTAGCGATAAATTTGATTAACAAGTTATGGACGTATAGTAAAAAGCGGCTACAAGGATATTTATTATTATATTTCCATGATAAAATAATACCGTTGATAAATTTTTGAATAAAGACAAAGATTATATAATTTGAAAATTATTAAGTAATGTTAAATAGTAATTGTACTGTAGTTTCTACAAGGGTTTCTAAGGTCTGTGTGCCCAAGGGCCCATCTAAAGTCAAAGGCGGCACTTCCAAGTTAAAATTTAAATATATTTAAATTCATTTAAATGTACGTTAAGTTAAATTGTATACATAATAGGTTAATATCTTTTACCATAATGTCAAACTATTATTCCATTTAATATACAAAATTAAACTATATAAAGTGCGATTGCATCATAAAATACATTTTAATTGAACTATTTAGGATGAACAATCAATTTTTATGTTAGTTTAGATATTTATATCTAGTATATCAAAATATTTCTGATATAAAAATGGTTTTTTCTTATTAGTCTTGAAAAATATTTTTTTTACTTGCAACATTTTTTTTGTCTTTGTTATTAAATGAACATCATATAAAATAAAACTATGATGGTCTATGTTCTAGTTTCTATGATAATATTTAGTTCATAAATATCTGATTTAGAAGAAATTTCTGTTTGTGTAAAGTATGAGTATATTTGTTTGTATATCTTATACAAATATTTGCAAGGGTTCAAATAATATACACAAATTACAAAATTAGCATTAGCGCTATCTTGTACTGTGAAACAAGATTGAATATTATTAAAATATAATATCGATTATAATAGTGCCGAATAAGGTCACAACATAGTTTAAAATTTTATTTTTAAATCAACATCAACCATGAGTTTTCGATAATACGATAATACGAAAATGGTAGTAAGTTAACTTGTTCGTATAGTTCAATATCTTTTTAAATTGATTTTCGTAATTGAATTCTTCACCACTGGAACAGAAAATTCATGGAATCTGTTAAAAATTAAATATTAAATATAATAAATTTAGTTAGTTTCATAAATAATTTATATATATATATATAACATACTCTGTAGTTCATTATTTTAAATCATTATGCAGTATTTTCATCTGTGACTGATGAATTTATTTATTATAGTGTGATATTTTGAAAATAATAAGTATCGAAATACGACGTAAAAGGCTAAACTAGAATGTTTGATGGTAATAGTTACATGGGGTTCGTGAGGCATTTTATCTATGTCAAACTGGGTGGGATGGTACAAGCTGTCCTATAACGACGGAAATAAAGAGGAATATGAGGGCGTGAGAAATAAATTGTCACGGGAAAAGAACTGTATACTCCTAACAAATCAATCTTCATCATTTTGAAGAAATGAAGAAATAAAAAAATAAAACAACTATAAAATACAAAACTTTTGATTTTTTCTGAATTTAAAACAAATGCTGGTTTTTAATATGTTTTTTAATATGTCTAGTACAAAATGACATATTGCAAGGTACCGAATTTTTTAAATTAAAATAACCATAATTATTATATCATTTTTTATTTCAATTTAACTGGGCCCTGGAGCATTGTAATTAATTACACGCATATAAAAGTATACAAGTTTTACTGTAAAAACAACTATTTGTTTTCACAAAACAAACAAAAACATACTATTATTTTAAATTATTTTTATAAAAGCATCATATATTTATAAAAATTATAAGTTACCTAATTACTTACACTCCATTAATTATTATTTCAAATTATAAAAGTTATAAATTATATATAGTGAATAAATATTTGAGAAATATAGTTATAATTTTATAAATATAACATCAGTGTAATTTAAACTATAGAGATACTCATTGAGGATGAGCTCGATAGGATGCAAAATATATGTGTGTTATTAATCTAATCGACTTTATATTATGTAAAATTGATAAACGTAGGTTATATCATGACATAAATTAATAAAAATTAATTACAAATATTTATTGAAAAAACCAAAATTAGGTCTGATATTATATATGATACATATTATAACAAAACTAAGTTCGTTTTAAGTTTGAACTAAGGAATTAAATATATTTTAAATAATTGTATTTCAACACTCGATGTCGACTGGCATATAGTTTTAATTAAATAAAATATATTAATAATTTATATACTAATTTATAACATTTAATAATATTATAAAACATGAATTATTAAAATTAAATAAGTTATTATAAGGTATTTTAGAAAAAGACACAATTTTTTTTTTTTTAAAAATTCAATTACATTAAAATGACCAGTTGAGAAATTTAACATAAATTGAATACAAAAAACTGTATGAAATTATTAAATGTAAAAAATAATTTTAAATTATGATTATATATTATATTTGAAATTTTAGAAGATATTTTAATTTAAATACACAAAACAACTTACAGTTTAAAACATTTTACTTTTACCTATTTATTTTTCATGTAACAATTAACTATATTATCAAAACTGACAAAGTTTTTATTTTTTGAGAAAGTAATCGAACTTGAAGTTTGATATTATTTGATGATATTTTTAATTAAAATTTTAATTTATTTATGATACTAAGAACGAAATTTAAAAATAACAACAAGAATATGAATGTAAATTATTAAATTTGACATTTTAATATAGTTATTAATAATAATAATCCGTTTGTAAATGAGACGTACAAATATTATTAAATTTTCTATATAACATAGTTATATTATACGAGTATAGTCATAAAAAATAATTTAAAGTTTCTTTTTGATAGAATTATGTTTCTAAAAACTTTTATAGTGCCATCGTCACTAAAAATTAATAATAATAATAATACTTTAAAACATTTATATGCTAATACGTCGGATATAACAGATATATTATTTGAACGTAATTATTTTATATAATATACACGTATTCAGAGTTTAAATAGTTCATTTGAAATTGATACCGTTTTAAGGCTTTGTTTGTTTTTATAAATTATTTGTAGTATAGAGCAGTATTAAAACACAACAATTTATTTAATAATATTTATTTAGTTTTAGGAAACCATGCGTTGGTGCTACCTCATGCTGTGACCTTTGACATGGTCACCGAAAAATGAAGACGTTGGCCGGCGCCATAATATTATGCATCATGCTCGTCATAATTTCCGGTGAGAAATAAAAGACAATACATGTTTTACTAATTATTCAAATATAACTACAAAATTATTATTATGTCAGTAAACAACCGAATTGATTAAAACACATTTTAATATAGATTGATAATATTTAACTCTAATTTTATGAAATTTTTAAAATTCAAATTTAATTTAATAAAATTTAATAAATTTAATATTAAATTTCACTCAACAGTTTCAATGAAAATAACACAGAAGCTTAGTTGAATTTTTGCATCTTTTTCTAAGGAATCCAATATGATATATAATAAAATAATATGCATTATGATTTCGTTAATGTCTTATTTCAACTATTTTTTTTGGTATCTATTTGTGCACTTAACCCACAATAATTTATCATAATAATTTCTATCTTATTATGAATTTTATTTCTTTAAAACATTTAATTGCAAAAAAAAAAAATTGTAAAATTTGACTGAATACAGAAACCCAAATATTTTCTTTATTGCTTCATTTACAAAACTGGCTGAAGAATATTTATGAAAATGTAACGTATTTTATTAGAATACGAATTGTAATCTTTTAAAGTATCATTGAGATGATACTATATGATACTATGTGTTACAATAGTATTCAAATGTAATAATAATTTATTTCTTTTGAAAAACAGTCCTAAGCGAAGGTTGGTAATGTTGAAATTATTAAAGATTTTAAATACTTTCAAAAAATAACAATATGACTTTTGAGAAATTTAAGCTTTGATTTAAGTTATGATTTTTCAACAATGTAATATACTTTTAGGTATTACAACACATAAATATAAAAAAAATGTACATATTAATTTATCTATGTATAAAAAGTCTATTCGATGTTTTCTTTTTTGACAAACAACACATATTTTTTCGCTCCTTTCGCGTTAAAAAAAAAATACATTTTTATGCTGTTTGAAATTATTAGTACTCGACATTTTAGCAAAAATGATATTTTTATTGTTTTCTATTATAATAATTTTTAAATGCAGCATTTTTAATTTTATATTCTGAAACTTAAAAGTTTCAACCATAAAGATGATATTAAGTAAGTTATCAGTACTGTTAAAAGTTCACTGACTGCAATACACATTTCATAAATTGAGGTTGTGGTTGAAAAAATAATATACTTGCATATCGCATAATAAAATAATTATAAATTAATTTAAAAATTTTTATTTTATCGTAGGCCTTAGCTGACAAAATAATTAAACTTTTCAATTTTCACGATTTACCATTTAAAAAAATATATATAATCGATTTGTAGAAAGAATATTAAAGAAATACAATTATTTACAATGATTCCAATAAATGCCCGAAATTAAAGAATAGGAAACTCATAATAAGAATCTTTTGTTCGACTTTATGGTAGAGAGGGTGAAAAAATAATCAAGATTGGTAGAAAGGCATAATAATGAATTTTTCGGAAATTCAATCTACTGTACGATAATTCTTAAAACCATTTTCTTGGTCGTACAGAATCAAGGGAATTTCCGAGTCAAGGGATTGCTTAACATAGGGGTTTCTATTGAACCACCCGTTTAAGTGTATATATTCGTTCCATCTTATTACGACTAATAGTCCTTTTAACCATCCAAACTTAACATGACTATTAATATTGGTATGCATTCGAATATAATACAGTAAACAATGTTTTCTTTGGCTAACATTTCTGGGGGAATCATAACAGGTAACAAAAAATTATAATATGTAACTGATAATGTTTTTTAAGTAAGTGTGTACGAGTATTCTTACAGAAATAATGTCCACAATTAATATTTATTTTTTATTTATTTATTTAGGTTTGGTTATAGGTTAGGTTAGATCTAACCTAACTTATATGATTGATTTTCGATATTGTTGAACAATTGAGTAAAAATAGTGATGAATCTCAGATAAATAATTAATGTCAGTTTAATTCATAATATTTTCTTATTGTTTATTTTAGGATCAGAGTAAAATGCAAAATGGAGAGTGCTTCATATTTTTTCTTATGATCATTGTTTTCAAATAGTAAAAATTAATTATTATCTCATAATAGCCCGGAAGGTATGCAAAATATCTCATTTTTTCGATTTCCTAAGTGTGTTAAAGTGGAGGGAGGATAGAAAAATGAAAATACTTCAGAGAACATAATAAATATAGACATAATGTATAGTTATTGTTTTAAAAAGTTATAAATATTAATTACTTATGTTTTTTAGATTTCAATAATTTTATGTATAAAAAAAATGTATGGCGTTCATGGTTATTTATTTTTTGTACATTGTTGTAATTTATCGTCTGCCAAATACATGTATTCTATTGAAAAGAAATGTATACAACTACATTTTTATTACTTGATATTTTCTTTATATCTCGAAAAATAAATCATAAAAATATAAAGAAACTGCCAAAAATAATATCTTAATGTCTATACATATTAAATGCATATTTTTTACAAATAAAATAAACTAAGTAGGTAGTATGTATAGGTTATACATTGTATACTATAATTTAACTTGTTTAAAATTGTGTACTTAACTCAGTGTTCAAATATTTGTTTAATTAACCTAATCAGTTTTACAATTTTCCAGTGCATTCAAAGAACAAAAAAGCTAAAATAAAATAAAGCCAAAGAAAGAGAAGATATAAAACTACTGAAATGTTCTAACATTTTATAATACTTACCGTCTCTTACAGTACAGTAAAAAATAAGAGGGAATAAATTAAATAATTCTGGCCAAAAAGTGACAAAATATTATGTAAATTATACATAAAATGTTTGAGGTTTTTTGAAATCTAATTATTACTTGATTTTGTGTTTTAAATTAATTCTTTGAGTTTCAAAAATTAAATTTAATAAGTGTAGTATAAAATAAGAATACTAAAAATTTGTTACAATATAATCTATAATTTATAGTTGATAGATTATAATATGCATTATATTTTATTTTAAAAAATAATACAGGAAATAATAATAAAGGAATCAAATAGTTCTCAAAAATGATAATTTTTAATGAAATAATTGTATCAATTGTTATTATTTATAATATTAGGTAATCATTGTTTTGTTTTAATAACTGTTACATATTATTTATTACTTAAAAATATTAATGAATTTTTTACAGGATGTTCGATGAATCCGGACGCAAAAAGGCTGTATGATGACCTTTTGTCTAACTACAACAAACTCGTAAGACCTGTGCTCAATAATACTGATCCACTACCAGTTCAGATTAAGCTCAAACTATCACAACTCATCGATATTGTAAGTTTTAACTATGATTTTGATATGATTTAAGTATTCAGTTCAACTTAGTTCATAGGCAACTAAATAGTAATATATTATTAAGTAGGCAATATACATATACGTAAAAAATATATAAACATTTTTTTATTTAACTACAAACATTTAGGATTTGCTGATATAGGTGAGCGATTTGTTTTATATAAAATTAAACGTCGCGTATAAGTGTAATGCCATTTATTAAAAATAAAATATATAAATGAACCCAAAGATTTGTTATATTTCAAAAATTGCACACGTAATAGTATAAATTTGATAATAGGCTGTTACAATAAAATTTGGAAAACAGTGTATTTGTATTTGATACATAATTGTTCACGGTTTTAATACTATAACTATACCTATTGATAAAAACTAATAAATAAAAAGTTTGATGATATTGTTCTTATAATTATTAGTTTTATCAACAAAATAAATTGCATGTAATAAAATTCGAATTCGAGTGAAATATTTATTTAATTTTTACTTTCATTTTATTTATGTTTACGTATGAACGATGGAATAGAGATTTCGATAAAGCTTTTTCACTTGATATACGTAACGATTGCAATTTGTAATCAGCTTTTTAAAAATTTACTTCATCGGTATATTTCAAAATTCGACTTGAAAAAGAATAATTTCATTCCAAATTTTTTATCGAAGGCACTTATTAAAAAATAATGATAATTTACTCTACGTGAATACACGTATAATATCAAAACACAGTTTTTATACCAATTTTCAATTAATTAATCTTTAGCATAATTACACACTTGTATTAAACAGCAATACAATAATTTTTAATAAGCGTTAGCGTTATAAAATAATATATATACATGACATTAATTTGCTTAAAACGATCGATCAATGAGTAAAATATTTGCTTTTAGAAAAGTAAGCAAAGTGATTGCACGTCATTGTTGTATGTAGGATATAATTAACATATGCGTAACCTTCGTTTTGACAGGACAACAACTTACCCATAAGTATTTTTTATAAAGTAAATTTCATTAGTAAACAATTTGTTTTACGTTTTTCAAACAACGTACTTCAAATTTAATTTTTAGTTTCAACCGAATGTTATAGAATGAATATTAATAGTAATGTTATGTTATTTCAACTGATATGCATCCAATAATGTAATATGACAGCTGATATTATGCAATTTACATTATTTTACCAATATACGTGATATGGGAAACAAATAATCTTATTAAATTTAATTAAATTAAATATATTTGCTACAAAAGGTAAAATTTCAATGATTTACTATTTTAAGTACAGTTCTCGTCACATTTTATTCACCTATAAACAGATTAATTATACAATTTAAGCATTTTATTGTTGTTTACAATTTAAAATATTAAAAAATATTTTATGAAAATCAACAATTTTATTATTTTCTATAAACATGTGATGGTTATTTTCCCATTGATATTATATTTAATAATATACAATATATATATAGTATATATATATATATATATATATATATATATATATATATATAGTATAATGTATGTATTATACATATTTTCATATTTTACAATGTTTCGGTGAAATTCTCATGAAATAATAAATACTGAATCTTGAATCTTCTAGATTTTAAATGGAACAAAAGAGATATTGTACAAACAACAGTATGGAAATTTTTTTTTCTTAGAATACTTTTTCGAATACGAGTAGAAGCTGAAAAAGTTTGAAATGGCCTTTTTCAAACTAAACACAGATTTTACATTAAAGAGGTTATTTTTCAAATTCCCTGTACTTAAAAAAAAAAAAAAAAATGGAGGAAATCATCGAAATCAGTAATAGCGATGAGGAAATAATAAGAAACTCCATTTCTTTTTTTAACAAAACTTTACCAGTTTTAAGTAAACGAAATTTAAAATCAATTTTAAATATGAAATGTGATGATTTACGCTTTTTAATTAAAAAATAGTATACAACCAATGTATCTCATGTTTAGATGAAAAAACCGAATTTAAGGTATTAAATTACAAATTAAATTTTGGCTATAGATATTTTTTTATTTAACGCTTTTATAATCTCCTAATTTTATTTAATTATAAATTTTATTTGAGGTACTGGAATTAAAAAGAAAAAAATTAATTAATTAAGGTTATCTTGATATTAATTTATATAAATTTATTGATATATTCGATCACAACTTATACTTCTTATTTGAAATAATAATGATATTAATGTTAACATGGTTATAATTTCAATACCTATTTTTGTATTATGAAAACTATTTAAAAAAAAAATTATAGTTATCATTTTATTGTAATATTAAATGATAAATACGAGTAGGTATAATATAACATAAAAATAATTAGATTCAATTATTAATTCTATGTATTGTAAAATGCTATATGTGCATACTAACTTCTAGTAGATCTAAGCAATAAGTAATAATAGTCTAGCAATAAAATATTTGCTAATTAATTTGTTTCAAAATAATATCCTTTATTGCCTTACATTTTTTTTCAATTAAAATAAACTAATATATATTTTATCTGTCAAAATATTTATGTTGATTGTGGTTTCAATTATTCAAGTTCATTGTCATATCAAAATGCGTAATTTTTTATTTATTTTTTGAAATTAAGGTTCCATAATATAACCTTGATTAATATTATAATTTAAAATAATATAATTTGTACAATAAGCAGAAATTAAAATTTATTAATTTCATCATCATTGTTGAAATGTAATAGTGGTTATTATTATTTTATTATTTATTTATCTTTTAATGTAATATTATTACGTTACGTTCAAAATATAACATTGATTTGGATGATTTTCCACTAATCTCAGGCATATTATATCAACTTATATCAATGTATATTATTTATATAAAATAACAAAATTCAAATTGTTTGTCCTTTAGTTATTATTTATGAAAACAGTTTTATCTATGACAATTGTATTTCATACAGTTTATGTTGAAAAATGAAAAACTTTTCCATATTCTTTCAATTTTTCTTTGTAATGAATATGAAGATATTGAATCCGTTAAAACGGAAATTACATCTGTTTGTAGTGACAAAGATAAATCGAAAATGGGCCATACAAAATATATTTCCATTTATATATCCACACATTATGTACTCATACATTATACTACTATAACGACATGCAAAGTACCTGATTTAAGAAAAATCAAGTAAAACGTGAGAATGGAAAATTCCAAAACTCAATAAGTAGGTATCTTAAATATCATTTTCAATAATGAAACTAAATCAAATAAATAACTATTTATTATTTAATTAAATAATTATCCGCTTTAGTTAATTCAAATCATAGTTTTGAGAGTATTTTTAAAAATGTAATATTACATTATTTACACGGAATTTTCCGAACAGCATATCGAAGAAAAAAAAATTAAACACTCATTAAATGTATTAATGATGGATTGAACTAAGATTTTTTTTTAGATTGATCTATTATAATAGTAATTTTACTGTCACAAAATTGATTAGTTTTTCTTAGTGTTTCGATAATCCGTAAAGCCATGAAAACCAAAAATAACTTATTGACAGCGACAAACGTTATTATTCTGTAATCTATTAAGATTAAATTTGATAATTTGCTTAAATAAATGCAATAATAAATTCCAAAATATAATGATAATGATATTATAATATATTATTATATGATAATATAATGATATTTATTAAAATTATCATAATAATTAACTTATAGCAGAAATAAAATGTATTATATAAAAACATTAAATTTTCTTATGTAGCTAAAAATAAAAATACTGTTTTTTAATAAATCGAATTCATTATTTTATTCATGAGCATTATTAAACACTATTACTAAAGAATTTTGAAAATATCCTACCTACGTAATGCATTTATTTGGATGTACTGACATTTTTAAATGTACTACAAGTGGAAAATATTGTAATTAAAATTGTGATTTTTATCCAACTTACCAAAATATTAAAATTAATATTGACATTTTTTAAAAATAATCAACCCAATTACCTTTTATAGTTTATTAACTATTTGTTTCAGAATTTAAAGAATCAAATTATGACGACGAACTTATGGGTAGAACAGGTAAGAATTATAAAAAGGAACAACTTTTTATTATAATGAAGTAACACACTAAATTTGTATTATTATTTTATTGAATTAATTTTTTATAATTTACTAGTAAATTACTGTATTAAATAAATTGCTTTTAATTTTAATTAAAAAATTAATTATTTCTTTTAGATTTGATAAATCAAAACAACTCATAAGTAAATATTTTGATTTTAATCAAATCGATTCAACATTTTAGCTAATTTATTGATATTATAATGTTTTTAAATTACAATTTTTAATATAAGTGTTTTATTTTGTGTGATTATTGTGATTATTCTACATTATTTTATAAAAAAAATAATAAAAAAATTAAAAACAGTTAGATTATTAACTCAATTTTAAAATTTGCATTAATTTCATACATTATTTGACAGTATTACTTATGTTATATATTCCATGAAAATAATCAGTATTATAAAATTTCATTTTAAAAAATGAAATCAATCAATGTCAGTATGATACTTGAAAAATCTTTTAGATCTACATTCAAAATGAGCTTATAAAAATTACTCGAAAAAAAATATAAAGTTTTTAACAAACTGCAATAATATAATATAGGTTTGTTGATAAGATTTTTTTTTAAATGTAGAATTATTACTACTTGATTATTATAAATATATATATATTTAATTTCTATACCATAAAAATGGTTACTTTTCTTTACAATTTAACAATTATATGTATTCTGTCAGATCTGTAATTTTACTTTTATTGGTACCTATTTTTATTTTATTTATATTTATCTACTAATTTCCATAAACTATTCTTATTGTTTTGCGTTGTAATAGATTGAATATACATAATTAAAAAAAAAAAAATAATAGTAACAATTATTGAATAATAGAGTAAAACATTGTTTTCTTTTTTATTTCCCCAGTATTGGTATGATTATAAACTAACGTGGAATCCTAAAGAATATGGTGGTGTCGAAGGGTTACACGTACCTTCAGAACACGTTTGGAGACCAGACATTGTTCTCTATAACAAGTAAGTTTCTCTGACCCTATTATAACGGAATCACGCACATATTATGTTTATAATCAATTCAATGTATAAATTTAAAGTGCTGATGGGAATTTTGAAGTAACGTTAGCTACCAAAGCTATGCTTCATTATAGTGGTCGGGTTGAATGGAAACCTCCAGCTATTTACAAGTCTTCCTGTGAGATAGACGTAGAATTTTTCCCATTTGACGAACAAACATGTGTGATGAAATTCGGCTCGTGGACCTATGACGGTTTCCAGGTATTACGCACAGATTATTTATTTTTATATTTCAGAATAATATTATTGTATTTTAGTTTGTAACAAATAAATATTTATTATGAATCTTACATATTTGATTTATAAGCTGCTGTTGGCGTTTTTGATAGTAATTTTAAACAGTTATAATACACAATGTATGTGAAAAAATATACATTTACATCGATATCATATTTTTATGAAAAATAAGACTACTATAAAATTATTTATGTAATTGGTAAAGTAGGTATCTAATATATCTAACTTAAAGCAAATACATACTTACCTTATAATTTTAGTACATAGTAATGTTGAGTATAACTGTTACATTTTGTATTTATCATCATACAAAAATAACAAATTATAAATTATCACGAATGAAATAATCCTCGCTGACTAATATTTCCAACAGCAGCTCTACGTACGCTAAAGTACAACATGATCAATAGCCAAAATTAAAAACACCATTCTTAGTTCTGAGATAATATGTACAATTTCGAGCGTAATAGTAATAAGTTTTTTCCTTTTAATGTGTTTTTATTTTTTTTTTTTTGCAAACACCTTTCTTTCCCTACAAGGTATAATATATATTATAGTATGGTTGTACGCAATTTCTGGGAAACTCTATTGATCTTCATTAGCTTTCTCAAATACTTGTGTTGAGATTGTTAAGGAGGAACGTACGAACGTGAGAAGTTCGTTAATTACATAGCGCAGATGTTTTGGTCATACAGTTCTTATTCCGTCAAGTCGACGAGTATTTGTTAGGTTAAGTCGAGCCTCATTAAGTTACTTCGATATAATCGGAATAAATAAAGTTTAGTGCTACGCACATAGTAGGGCGTTTCGAAAATGATTTTCATATAAAAAAAAAAAAAAAAAAAAAAAAAATGAAAACTGGTTAACCGTCATAATGATATTTGCAAATAATTACAGTTTTTCCTTTATCAAATACTTTAATAATTTTTAAACTTTAGAATCAGTAGGCCAGTTGTGTAGTTATTTCATATATAAATCATACATTTATTAAAAAACAATATATAGTTAAAATATCGAATTGTGATTAATCATAATAAAATATTTTGTATTTAATTTTATTATATTTTAATGGATCATTTTTAATTAAAGATAGTTTGAAGTTTCATTGTTATGTTTATTCACCTTGGTAAATATTATTTCACATTTCGGTATTGACTTAACAGGCTATTTATATATAAATATATTAATTCACATTGAATATTGGTTTAATGAACATGTAAAATTATCGCTTTAGGCTACAATCGATTTCAAATTACACTATGTACCACATCGTATAGAATTCTAGTATAATCAATAATCTCTCAATAATTTTATGTAGTTATACATGAACGTTTGTGTACACATTAAAATTAAAGCTCTAGAAAAACTCTCTCAAAACTGATTATTGTTTATAATTTGATTAAAACGTGAATATTTCTAAAAAAATACATAACACCATTGATAAAAAATGTTATCAAAGAATAAACTCAACAAATGAAATAAATAAAATGTTTGCATAATATTAATAATTAATTTTGTGTTTGTACACTGCCTCAGTTAGAGTTGAGAACAATCTGGTAACAGCAAGTTTTGAACAACTAAAATACAACATAGTTTGAAATAAGTTCTGTATGGTTAAAATGATAACAAAAAGTTATATATTTATAAATATAATGTATTTTTCCATCTTAATAACAATTGAATACATACAATAACAAACATTTCTATTTAAAAACTGATCTTAGTAAAGTATATAATATAAAAACAATTTTATTAAAGTACATTATATCGTTAGTGTTATAATATTCTCCAATATTATTTTGTATAATTTAAAACAAATCATTAATACGTTTTAAACTAATAAACCGGTTTTTTTTAAGAGAAAATAAATAATTTAGTTCAATTCAATAATCTATTCGATTTATTGTTTTATTAGTTGTATAATATGTGCCCCATGTTTCTCATTAAATTTTTTGGGGGAAATTTAAAAGGTGGCCAAATATTATTCGTCTACTTCTAAGTGTACAAAAAGCACTTTGTTTTATTACTTTTCTTTTTCCTGTTCATGTGGTTCGAATATTTAGGCAAGAAAAACTTAATATCGCTAACAAGTTCAATAACTCAAAGGGGATCGTGTTTTAGTGTTTCCGAACAAAAGTTGCATAATGAATTAAATCTCAAAGCGTTTTTCTTTATAGTACCCTGATAATTTTCAAACTTAGTGTGCAACTGACGTCCAAATCGATTTTACATCCCTGTCCCCTATTTTAGTTTACTAGTTATGTTAAGACAAATTATCAGTTGTTTTTATACATAATACGAACTTGATTTAAATTTTACCTACATACATGATTTAGTTGAATTTTAATACGAATTGAACGAGTATTATTATTACCAACGTACTATTTCATTTAAATATATTTATTTGACCATTTTTTTTTTAATTTTTTTTTATTTTATTTTAAATAGTGTAAGACTATGATTTGTATTATAATTTTTGTTTTTCTGTTTTGTTTTAGTTTACTATTATTAGATAGCCTAAAAATCAAATTACATTATCAAACATATTGAATGTTGAATATTATATATTTTTTTGATATGTAGGAATTCATACTTTATGTACAATTCATATTTTAAATCAAGTTAATTAATACAACCTTAGTTTCTTTTTTATTAAATAAAGTTTCATTTTTGAGATACATAAAATACTTTGTTTTAATAATATTAGAAAATGTTATTGGTAGATATATATAATTCACGTTATTTTATGTAACGTTTTATTATGAAATAACATTTTTTTATTTTGAGCTTACAGTAATATAGAGTTTATTACGGAAACTTAAGTACTCTAAGTAGCGTATTTATATTAATCAAAATATCTTTATATAGCATTTATTTGGTTTACGTGAACGTTATAAAGCACAATGTGTTTATTTTATTTATACTTGTATTTTTGGCTTGAATTTTTTTAACAACAGTATGTTATTTATTTTTAAATTATCCTGTTTGAAGTGAAGCATGATAGATTGTATCCATTTTATAATATGCGTTATGTCAAATATGAATGAAGACATACTAACAATCGCTTCTCAGATAACTATATTTATACTTTTATACTTCTTTGATAGATTACTACTACGTCTCAACTCCCGAGATATTGGATACGAGTAATTTTGTAACCTATCAATATCGACATGTCTAAATTTCAAAAATATATTTTTTCGAAATTTTATAAATGCTTACTGATCTCATAAATTAAAGATTAGTTTTCAGTTAAAACAAAAACCAAAACGAAACTACAACTAAATCAAAAAATTCTCCATTTTTGAAATTTTATTTCGTTTAACTATTGTTATTAAAAATAATATTTTGATTTGATTCAAAATTATGTTAGTTATTTTCAGTATGATTATTCAATACGATTTCTATGATTAATGTCTAATTATGTAATTTAATTAAGATTAATGTTAAGATCGTTTAGAACACGTGCCTATTACTAGTTGAAATTATTTTTTAAATGTTTTTTTTGCGCACTGTTTAATATATATTTGACGATTAGAGTACTAGCACTTTGTTATCTCTTATATGACTGCCATTATTTTGGTTATACATTTTAACAGAGCCCAAGCTAGAAAGAGAGAAAGCGAACGGTTCGATAAAAGGGCTGTTTCTCCTCGTTTATCCTTTCTTCTTGTTTCACCACTCAACCCTTCTTATCCACTCTTCACTTTCTGCAAGATATTCGATTGAATCCCACTTTTCACGAAGGTACACACGTATGTAGAAAGTTTTGGTCACCCAATACGTTATAAATAGAGAAGAAATAATATCAGTCCTCTTTACCTACTTATTTTCTCTCTTTATTTTCCTTTTATTTTTATTTTTCTCTCAGTTTCTTTTGACTGTCTCCAAAAGTGATTGAAAATGTTTAATCGACATATCTTTATTATATGTATTAATTTATCTGTTACTTAACTTCATAACCTAAAAAAAAAAATTATAGTAAAACTTCCAATAACGGTCACCTATATAGGACAGTTGCCTCTATGTAACGGTCAATTTTTTTGGTCTCATCGTGTAGAAAAATACATTAAGACCTCTATATAATGGGCACTCTTATTAACGGTCAAAATTTAAAAATATTTCAAATGGAAGATGAAAAAATGTTAAATTATTTATCTTATTAGAGCTTAGTTGATAGTGTGGTGAACACTGATCTATGACAATGTATTTTATCATGTTTCATTAGTGTTCAGTGCATATATACTATTGAAACTCAATCTCTTAGTCTAAACGAAAATATCTAATTTAAGTGGAAAAAATCAAATTGTTAAATTTTTACCAAAAATAAAATCTGAGTACATGCATCATAGCAGATGAATTTGAAATAGGAATAGTTCATCAATTTGATAAAAAAAAAAAATTATTTTTTTAAAATTATGAAAATCCAACGGTAATAACCAAATTAAAACTATTAAACCGAATCAGTCAATATTAAAAAACCAATTAATTTTTGGTGAACAATTAGTTAATATATCATCTCATATGAAAAATGGTTATTTCTATAAAAATTGTTTTATGTTAGATTTAAGAATTCCACATTAAATATACAATTAATTTATTAAATATTATATATTCCTTATAAAAGTATCCAACTATACTATATATTAAAAAAAATTAATCAGTAATATAAAATGAAGAGTATAATTTAAAAGAAAGTTTAATGTTTGAAAATAATTCTTAATATAAGGACCGAAAAAGTTATACATATATTTATAATATTTCGTCAATTTAACTTCGAAGAAAAAAAGAAAGAACATTAATAATAAATGTATTTTATAAAAATATTGGAATAGAAAATTGTACTAAATTATTACTACTACTTAAATTTTTTTATTCAGCTGTATTTATTTTATTGATTTTTAAAATCCTAAAAATTGTATTAAATTAATTTATATTATGTATCTAGTGATATTTATATCCTT